TGAGCGCAGCGCTGCCTCGGCCGAGCCTTGCCCGGCCATGATGCTGCCCGCGGGCGGCCCCAGCCCCGGGCAGACCTGCGGGGCCGTGCTCGTCGCCGCCGTGCTCCTGCAGTCCGTCTGCGTGGCTGTCACCTTCCTCTACTTCACCAACGAGCTCAAACAGGTTGGTGGGGGCAGACTGGGGGGACCCTAGGAAGGACAGACGGACTGGAGCCAACTGCAGGGCCGCGCTGCCGCGATAGGAGCGGAGGGGAGAGCCATCCCCCAAAGCGCTCCGTGATTGCCTGTGCCTGCTTCTTTGTCTGGGCTTTCCTTGGGCCGTGGGATGCACGCAGGGCACGGCAAGAGCAATTAAAAAGTTTTTGCCCTTTTTTTTTTTTTATAAAGTTACACCTTTTTTTTCCTTCTTTTTTATTTTTTGCGGAGAAGCAGCAAACGTGCTTTTCATTAGAGGGCCAGACTCGCTGGCTCAGCACATTGCGGTGCCCCATCAGCTCTAGCCCGGTCAGCTGGATGATCATAGAGACAACAGGGAAAAGGACTGAGAAAAGCTAGGGTGCCTTTGAAATGCCTCCTCTAGGAAAATACATGGTTTTAAGACCGTGACTAATCCCAAAGGAACTTCATCCAAACAGCAAAAACCGCTGAATTCCTCAGAATGACTTGTAAAATCCCCATGGTGTAGTCTAGGTGCTTTGGTCTTGCAGCCACCCTGCAAGCCTGTGAGCTGCTGCTTAACTGTTTCCTCTGCCTGCAAAAGATCGTTTGCATGCCAAGAAAATTACACTTATAGCCTTTCTGCATGTGGTCCTGCTTTTCCTTGACCCCCCTAGTTGTTACTCAGGGTTTCCCTGAGTGTCTTGCCCAAAATTTACTGTCCTGTATATTGCTCTCCCTGGCACAAAGGTAAACCTAACTGCAGGTAAGTGTACTATAGTTATACAGCTTTAGAAAGTATTGCATAATTTTCAAATACTATTTATCTATGCATTTATTCCACATCAATATAATAGGTAAAGTCTTCTGAGATACCAAAGTCCTCTCTGAAGCAAACATTAAAGGGTGTACAGTATTCTACAATATAAACCAGTGCTCATATTTTGGAAATGCATAAAATGCATTTTCCTGCTAAATTTATAGCTATGGCTGTCCCATATTTGGTGAAATGGGAAAGTCAGATGTGTTGATTTTATGAAATAAGTTACTACTGCTAATGAAGAAAAAAAAAGTAAATGCAGTCTCATCTTTTCACGCATATGGTTCAGAGTCCTTAGCTAACAAGCTTGCCAATCTTAAGTCACTAGTAACCACACTTATCTTTTGTTTAAATATGTACACCTGGGACACAACCACATTTAGTGATGCATGCCCAAAATACAACTCACTGAAGAATAATAAGCCTGCATTTGGTGTGAAAAGCTACATCTGCCCACACTGAAGTTCTGCTGGGCTGCAAAGTAAGGTTGCTGGCTCTGGAGAGGGTACCTTAAGCACTTATTCTTGCATGTGCCACTAGTGCACAGTAAACAAGGAGAAAGCTTATCTAGAAACACGGTCTGCTACCACACATCCACATGGCACATGCGGAATAAATCTCAAAAGATAAGCTGTGATTTTTGTCTGTCCACTTTTCTTCCTTTTGTTGTTCACAATATCTGCATTTCTACACTTTCAGCAAATGACCATGGCTGCACAGGCTGCAGATATTTTTATCTTTACAAAAAGACTGCTGTATAACTAGCAGGTTTTTTTCTCTACAGCTGTAGTAATCTGAGTAGGATGATGACCATTTGTGTAAAGAATTTTGCTATGGGAGGAAGTGCTGAGAGAGGAGCACAATAAAGTTCATTATGTTTCAGGATATAGGGCTGCAAGAAAAATAGCCTCAGACTTCCTTCTGTTTTGAAAACATAGTCCATGCACTACTCCTGTGATAAGAGAGAAGCTTTACAAGATAGCGTTGCTGCAGGACTTGTGTCCTCAAAGACTTCAGTGCTAGATAAACCTCATGTTAGTAAGTCTTACAACACCCTGATATACCTTGCTTTCTCTACCCATAAAACAAATACCAGTGCTTCAGTACCATACGGTGCTGAGACCAGGTTGCACTCCCTGAGGATTTCAAAATGCATGCAAAATACCACTCCAATGCCAGGATAGTAAAGCTGTTTGGGGGACAGTTATGTAGGTATGGAAAAGGCAGACTGTTTGCTTCCAGGGCAAAGCTCAGAGTTGAGCTGTGGCAGATCTACTAAGAGAATAAACAGTAACATCTCAACTAATAAAATATTTTTTTAAAAACTCAAACTGCTTTGTTATAGAAGCTAGTATAGTTAAATCTATCAGGGCCCTTAATTTTAAGTGCAGTTTTACCTTAATAAGCACATAATTTTAATCACTTTGAGTTCTTGAAACAAGAAATCTGATTTAAGAATATCACTGTACTTCTCAGCAAGGACCCAGAAACCTTCACAAACACTTGTAGTGGTAGCCCCATTTTGCTTTGATGCCTACAAAATACAAAATCATTTCAGGTATTAGAAGAAACTCGATAGAGTCTGCTGCTGCAAAATTAAGATGCTGTTCAACCTGGTAGGACTTGCAGGGTGATACAGGTGAATTCTCCTAATCCTCTTGGAGTGTGAAATCTCTTCCTAAACGCCTTTGTTTTCTACCAGGCAGGAAAAGCATGGAGTGTGAGGAGGAGGTGGCTCCATTTGTTGCTTTCAATACTCCAGTCTCAAGGACAGTCAAAACTGGTACTTGTGGAGTAAATTTTTCTGTTTAGCAAACCAAACAAAACTTCGTTAACGTACCAAAAGCGACGTTTGAATGTTACAGCCAGAAGTCCATCTGCATACTTTGCATGTTTACTGCCGATTGCTGTTTCTTCCAAATTCCTGCAGGGTATTTTGCTAGCATAGGAAGCCTCACTGCTCCTTGCAGCTGATGCGAAGCACCCAGGAGCTGATCTCAGCTGCGCTCGTACATTAAACAACAGCGCCAGCTGCAGCCATGCGCGCCACCTCGCCTGCGGATGCTGCGGGCTGGGGAACGGCTTTCTGCTATGGTATATGGGATATGACCCTCCTAGTCAGGTTCCCTTGGTGGCAACAGGAGTTTTGCCACCTCTGTTGGAAAGGCCCATATCATAGGCATTCAGCATTATAATGTTATTTGGACCCAAATGGCATCTCTCTTGTCTGGGCTTTGTTCTGGACTATTGGGTCAAATGCAGTTATGAAGAGACTCCAAACTGGATATGGGAAGGATATGGTATGAATATGTATCAGCAAAAGCCTGGATTATAAGTGGCATTGGCTGAAAAGACAGAATGGAAAATACTTTTAAACTTTTAAGGTCTGGTACTTAATTTCATCCTTAATAATTTGTGAAGAAAAATTCCTTGTGCAAAAGAAATGTTTTTAATGCAGAACTTGAGAAACTAAAGAAGTCACAGCATTAGTGATCTGGGTATTGAATTTTCACAAAGCCTCTTTAGTTGAGTGCTAGATACCAAATTTATGTCTACAGAGATTGTTAAGTATGTTTTTGCATATTTGGTATGCTACTGTAATTAAATAGGTAAAATCAGGATTTATTACTTGTGCTGTCTCGACAGTCATAATTTGCACCATACCAGCAAACGCTTTAAAGAAAAACAAGCATGTTCCTAAGCACAGTGAATTTAGTGACCTACCACAGCTAAACATCTGCGAGCACATCACAGGTGAAAAACTCTGACTTTCCCTTCTGCTGCAGCTCCAGGACACGTACTCCAAGAGCGGCATTGCTTGTCTCACCGGGGAGGAAATCGGAAATTTCATCCAAAACTTGGATCTAATTGAAAGTCAAGACAGAGTGGCTGATCCCTGCTGGCAAGTAAAGTGGCACCTCGGAAAGTTAATTAAAAAGGTATTTGGGAACCTACATGCTGAAACAGTGTGCTTGGTGATATTGCTATTCAAGGAATCCTAATGGCAGGGGCACTCGGATTGATTTATTGCAAAGTAATAGTGAGGCCACAGCTTCAGCTGCAGAGTGCTTGCACTGAGGCCAAAAAAAACCCAGTCCTGACAGTGATTTTACTTGATTCAGGTGCTAATAAAGCAAAGACAATCAGCTTTTACTAAGCAAATTTCAGTGATAGGTTGGCTTGTCTGAAATACCTCAGGGTGAAGTGCTTGACTTCTTGTTTTTTACCTGATCATAGAGATTGTAATGCCGGCAGAGGTGTTACTGTCCCTTCTGAAATACAGGGAGACTGACGTGAGAAAATAAGATTAAATGTAACATGGGGAGAGGTAAAAAGGTGCCTGAAGAATGGTCTGGTCCTGAGCTGTGGAAGGTAATGGGGGAGGAAAGATGGAGGAGCACACAGCATCAGGCACAGCACCTTACCATGAACACCCATCTCCTGCATGATTTGCACACAGTATGTATAATTTTGGTTACAGAGAAAAAAATTAACCTGGCTGAAAAATCAGAAAGTCTAAAATCTTTGGAATGGTTTTCAAAATCCCATCTCCAGCAAATAAAAAAGCTCATCCATAAAAATTCACTTCCAGCTGAAACTTACCTGGCAATTCTTGCAGCCCAAAATCGCTCCCCAATTTGTACTCTGAGATCTCAGCTCCTTTGGTGGAAGTTCTGCCCATGAGGTCCCTGAAGTCCTGGATGAGGAAAATATTGTTTTATTTGGTGGACATTTACACATCTAATATACCTAATAATAGATGGATGGGATATAGATACATTGAAATGTGGCAGGGCAGAACCCATCAGTAAGTGGCAATACAGGGCCCATAGTAGTTACCCAGCTAAATCAAACCATCAGTATGCTTGCTGCAGCTGCACTGCCGTCGGTAACCAAACTACTTCGTTTCAGCAGTCAGCAAACAGTTATAAAGGGGAATGCACAGAGTAAGATATACTGGCTTAAGAGCTTAGATAAATAGATAGAGGTATAAAAATAAATGAAATTCAGTTTCTCAGAGCTAAGATCCTACAGAAGTGCACATTGCCAAATATTCTCCAAATGTGGTTGTACACTGTATCTCCTCTTACTTGATAAGAGCATGAGGGTCAAATTTTCCAATAGACTTAAAGCCCAGATGACTGAGATCACTTGAAAATGTTTTCCCACATACTTAGTTACATAGGAGATGTAAATCTAGAAATACTTTTTTACAACGAATTAATGGACTTTTTTTGATTTGCATGTTGATCCAGTTCAGAATAGTCTTTATTCATGAGTTTGAGAAAGGAATGTCTTCTTCCTGTATTTATCAGTTTCTGCTGACAAACTAATTTGTTTTCTCTGTGTTTGTCGGCAGATGATGTCAAGAAGCTATGAGGAAAACGTATCTGCGGTCAACGGTATTACAATAATTTTGTTAACTGTGGCAAAACGGAGCTGCTAGTGACACCTGATGCATAGTGCAGAAACCAGCAACTGAGATCTTGCACAGTTCTTTGTCAACAAGTTGTTGAAAAGTGGTTACTTATTACTAGAAGGCAAATTTTGAGGAGCCAGAAACGTGGTGAAGTGGTTAGAGGAAGGTAACCGATTCTGGACCCCAGTCTCACAGCGTTGTGGGAACATTTCCTGGGAACAGGTGGCACTGAACTGCTGTGTGCTGTGTCAGTTATGGGGCAGCTTTGCTGGAGCTCACACAGCTCTAAACATGTTGAGTGAAAGCATTTACAATCTCCAAGTGGAAACTCAGAGTAAAGATGACTACTTAACCTCAAAAGATCCTGATCATGAATGTGAAAATGTGTTGCTATGGGATTTTTTAAGTTGTCTATTGGTAATTTTGGGGTGGGGGAAGGAGAAAAAGGAGAACAAAGAGGTATATAAAAACATTTCAAGACCAAAAGGAAAATAGAAGTTTGAGCCTTATTAGCCAATATATAGTATTAAGTCTATGATTTAGTCAGTTTTTTAAAATGACATGCATATTCCTTAAAACCAAGTCAGCTGGGACAGATGTGCTTTCTTACATCCTTGTTGTTAACTTGAGTTCCTTTTCTCCTCGTTCCTTAGCTGAAGGAGCCCTAACGCTGCCACGCACCGACGAGCAGCAGCCACGCAGTCCCATCAACAGGATTGCAGCCCATCTGACGGGCAACAGCAACAGGAAGAATTCGCTGTCCCCACGCAGTAAGGAAAAACCTTTAAAAACAGATAGAGATGACAGAAATTAATCTTTTCTTGCTAGCCTTGTGCTTAATAGTCTTTTTAATAGTTGCATTGAGTTAACAGTAAGAAACAAATCATAAAAGAGTTTTCTTGTCCCAGACAATGTTTTTTTCAGCTACTTCATGCGTAACAGGGAGAAAGCCTGCTCCCTCTGGGTACCTCCTTCACCTTTTTTCTGGAACCTTCATTAGGGGAAAAAATAAATACCCTTTGTCCTCATGTTAAGTTTCCCTCTTTTCTTTCCTTTAATTTCCTTCTGTTAGTTGTGTGAGTCCCAGCTGCTATGGTGACAGACCTATTAGAAATGTGAGACAGAGACAGGAGAGGCTTGACATTCAGACCATATTAATGAAAGGCTTGGTAGGGTTTTACAGCTTTGGAGGGTATCAGACAGAAATGGGTATTTTAACTTTGTTACTAAGTAACAACATGATGATTTTTATCTTATTTGGAAGCACCTATAAAGGTAGCTCATGTGATTCTCAAATAGAGCTGAACAGCTTACTCCTGGACCTTCAAATTATTTTGAGAATGGACCTAATGAACCACTGGGAAGAGCAGGTTTCCTTACTTTGTTATTAAAAACCAGACCCACCAACTAGCAAACACCTGGCTTCACTATCTGGCTTTTAATTAACATTTCCTCTCTTTTTTTTCTCAAGTAGATTCCTTGCCCAGAAGAGGGTACGGACAAAAAATAAACAACTGGGAATCATCAAGGAAAGGCCACTCTTTCCTTTACAACGTGGAGCTGAGAAACGGCGAGTTGGTGATACCCCAAACGGGCTTCTATTACATCTACTCACAAACTTATTTTCGTTTCCGTGAAAATGAGAATGAGGATTCAGATCTGCTGGCACAGATCAGAAACCCCAAACAGCTTGTCCAATATGTTTACAAACTGACTAATTACCCAGAGCCCATTTTGCTCATGAAAAGTGCAAGGACAAGCTGCTGGTCTAAAAAGGCAGAATATGGACTTTACTCCATCTACCAAGGTGGTGTGTTTCAGCTGAAAAGAGATGACAGGATTTTTGTCTCTGTCAGCAACGGTGACATAGTTGACATGGACAAAGAGGCAAGTTTTTTTGGAGCCTTTATGATCAGTTAAAAGATGAAAACCACTCTCCAAAGGAGCCAGTTTTCCTAGTCAGGACCCACTCAAAATTCTGTAAAATAGGGGATAATAAGTCAACACTGTAGCAACACCAACAATACCAGACTCCCCTTTCTCAGCTCACCCAGCGCGAGGTCTGACCGTGCCGAATACTCTCCCACCAGCTGGGAAGGAGCAGCAGCAGCTGTGGACGGCAATGCTTTCTGCAGGCACAGGCACTGGCACCACAGCTGGGAATGGGTGAGGATTTTGCATGCCATAGGTGATTCCTTTGGCCAGAACCCCAGGCACTGCCATCACTTCCACAGAGGTGCTCCATGCCGACCCAGCCACTGCAGGTGGGATGGAGGATGCTCCAGGTCCGGTTACTCAAGGCTGAGAGTGGACATCAGATTTGATTTGTGGTCTCCATTGAGTCCGTGTCTTGAATATCTCAGCTCCTCCAAGGAGCTTCCCAAATGCCCCTGGAATTACTCTGGAAGTTTTTGTTTGAACCTGAGTTTTATACAAGTTGCAAGGCTGTCAGAAACTCAGTCTGCACGTCTTCATCTCATCTAACAAAGCTCTTAAGCACCTAATTAATTTTAAGCACACAGTCTTGACTAAATCAGGGTATTTACATGCTTGAATTTAAGTATGTGCTTAAGCATTTTTCGGGATCCTGGCTTGAGTAAACACATTAAGCTGTCTTAATCAGGATATTGTACATAAAAACAGCTGCTGAAATGGCACAGAAAAGGTTTTGAGATCAATCTGTATTTTTATCAGCACATTATAACAGCGCCTGTTTACTTAATTGCTGTGCTCCAAAGATTTCAGCAGGCTTCCAATAGCTTCAGTAATGTAGTTGCTGCTACACTTGTTGACAGCAAGTACTTGATCCAGAAAAAAAAGGTGTTTTTCTGTAAATACTAAATTCTATTAGACATTTGCCACAAATTAAGCATGACATGGTTCTTCCATGTTTATTTGTTCTGGCCTATATTTGGTAGGATGTAATGCAGAAAAACATACCCCAGTGACTAATATTTTAAGGAAAACAGAACTATCCATACTTGAACTCGAGTTGCAATTTGAGTAATGCTGTTTTGGTTTTTATTTTATTTTAGGAATGTGTGGAAATGTTAAATTTTTTAACTTTTTTGTTGTTTTTTTTTTTTAAAACTGGCCACTATATTTTTTTAACTCTTCGAATAGGACTATTTTGTATTTAAAAAAAAAAAATTAAGGAAAAAAACTAGATCTGGAGGTATTAGCTGTGTGCACAGCAAATTTAGGTAGCATAAATCACCACATCCACAGCATTGTCAGTTTGCACCATGAATGTATTTTGTCCAGTTTCAGAGAAAACTGGGGAAAAGAAGGTGAAAGGGGAAAAAAAATGGAGGGAAAGGAAGATGGTTGTCCTGCTAATCTTACTTTACGTCAACAGAGTGATGCCAGGAGAAAATCTGGTTGTCTATTTATTTTAATACACTAAGGTTGCCGTGGGAACCTTCACATCCACCTCCACATTTTGGTAATTAAATCACAGCAGCCCTTGTATATGGGCCTCATGAGTAAACGTGTAGCGTTCATCTTACTACTTTGTCAACAAGAGGAAAGGAGTAGGCACGACCCCCTGCATTTGTTTTGTCATTCAGAAAACAAAGTACATTGATTCATTTAAATATCTGTGTCTGAGCAGCAAGAGAAGAATTTCAGGAATATCCACCTTTTGTCAGGTAGGGGTAAAGAAACACTCTGGCATAAGCCTAAAATAATGTGTTTTAACTTTTGCCTGCTGTTTTAACATAGCATCACACATATGTTTTCAGTGGGTATCAAGTATGTGAAATGCTTCATCGTTTACTGGCACAGTTTTTTTCCTCATTCTCGAATCATTTGTTTCAACAGAGAATAGAAAATATTTCTACAGTTTTCTTTCTGATTTCAGAATTTAATTCAGAAGTTTTCTGCCTGCCAGAAAAGGCTGGGGAGAGCAAAGCCATTCCCTACATGTCTGGATGTTTGCTCTGTTGGAGAAATGACTTTTGTAGGCTCTCCTTGAAAACGGACTGGGTTTTCCAATCTCAGCACAGGTTTGACCCATGTTACCACGTTTGAGGGTGGTTTTTTTGCAATTTATTGTATTAAAAAGTTTGGGCGTTTAGAGGGGAGGGTTGGGGTTTTTTATTTTATATTTTTTTAGAAATGTTGGTTTTGGAGGTTATGTGAAAGAAAACATAGTTGAACTGTGAAAAAGTATTTCAGACTTACAGGTCACAGCTTGGAGTCAGAAACCCTCCTGATGGCCAAGAACTGATTTGTGTAACATGGGAGTTGTGGCTGCTACAAAAGACTGGAAGGAAACCATGGGGGGCTCCACAAACTTGGCTGTTGCTAAGATGAACTGTCTATTGCACTCAGATTTTTTTTGCTCTGTGTTCTCAACTCTCAGTATATAACACCATGCCTGCTGTCGCTTGGGGAATGCTCCCTGGCGTTATCTTCCTTTTTTTATCTAAATGTGCATATTCTTGGCCTCTGCGTGCAGAGCGTATCACAACAGGGATCACACCAAATAATCTTATTTCTGAATAATCCAGAGGCATCCTTGCCACATATTATCTTGGGGAGAGACTATCAAGCAATATCTGACAGGATGCATTTGAAGATAAGTGGAAAGAGATAGCAACTTCTGTTTGTACATTTGCACCCTGAATCATACCTTTCATCTCACTTTATGTTAAGTGGCGAATGTAGCAAATTTTTACTTGTGGACATAGATGGCTGTAATGTAAATATTGTAATTTTTCTACATTTTCTATAAAACATTTTTAGTAAATAGTTAGTCTTGCAGTTATTATTGGTGTTATTGTATGGCTTCTATAATGACAACCCAATCTGAAATAATTTCTCTGACATTGCTTGGTATCAGTTATAATCCACTAAATATTAAAAACAGTTGCAACGCAGAGGACATAATGCAAGTTACTGAGCAATGCTGTATCATATAATGCCATATAATTGGCTTCCAGACCCTAGTAGGTAACCAGCATCTGGAAGAAGCACACTGAAGAAACATTGAAAATTATCTTATGGCCAGAGACTACAAAACCTGGAGCACTTGCGGTCCTTCTTGTGTTTCTGGACTTTAGCTGTTAGCTGTTAAGCATTAGGAAATCTATTTAATATGGAGACATCTTTTTCTTATCCATCAACAAACAACAGTAGAAGATGTATTGAATTCAGAGAAACAAGGACCATTTTCACAGATGTAGAGCAGCAGTAGACTAGAAATGCTCTACTGTTTAAAGGAAATGCGCTCCCTGCCCAGTAGCAAACATGGGGTACTGTTCGGTCTATCCACTCCACTTTCAAAATTTGCCTCACCAGAAAAAGGATACGAAACCCAAGTGAACCTTGGAAACTCAACAAGACATGAAGGCATCACCTACCCTGGCTGCCAGCCCTGAGATGGGAGACGGGGTGGTTTTGTCCTGCATCTCAGAGCAGGGCTATGGCTGCAGCAGGGAAGCTGGTTGCTCCTGGAGGACAAACCCCCAGAAAATTGTCCACGAGGGCTGTTTTGCCTCTCTTTCTCCTTTTGACATTGCCTTCTCTTTGCAGTTCCAAGTATTCCCTTGTTCTCCCTGTACTGGACTCTGGCAGACCCCCACATCGCTGTTTTATGGGCTACACATCTATGTGATTAACAAAAGGATGCTTGCCTCCCTAATGGACTTGCAATCTAAGTACATTTAGCCCTGCACTTGTGTTAGGCTTTATTAGGAATAGATGGGGATGCCTCAAGGCTCGGTAATCAGGTCTGTGTGTGGCTCTGCCCATCCACACCAAGCCCCACTGGAACCAGTATGGCTGGGGAGGAGCAGCCCCTGTGAATGCAGCCCCACATTGCAGGGATGCCCAGAGGTTTTGAAAAAGACATTATTCCTTTCATAGAGCCTGCTTTTATTTCAGCAGAAGGTTCTCTTTTCTGGTGTTTCCATGGGAAGGAGGACATGCCAGCTCGCTGGCTTTTATTGTACCTTTCATTACTTCATAGAAACGGACTTCTATTTTTTGCCTCTTTGCCTTAGTAAATGTAATTATTATTGTTTGTATTGCAGCAGTATTTACTGCCCAGGCAGGATCGGTGATGTATTTGCTGTCTTCCATCAAAACAGTTAAAAAGCCTGATTCAGGCACTGAGGTTTTGAGGTTCATAATTTTAGCTTTCAGATTACATCTAAATATTAGGGTCTAAGAATGTAGACTGAATGTAATGACGGAATATAACGTACACAAGCACACTGAGACAAGATCTCATTCATCCCTTCAAGGTACCTTGTGCCATTCAGTAGCAGAAACGGAAAACAATTAGGATGTTGTTGAGTCTGATCCAGTTTTCACAGGTTGGGGGTTTTTTTCATGTAGAGTTACATGGAATTTTCATCAGAATAATCAAAAATTTGTTCTCCATAACTTTTCTCTGTACTAACAGACTGAAATTGTATGCTGTGTCATGTGGTAAAAATTACTAAGTTTTCCTCTGATTACCAGGGTACCAGAGTTAACTGCCTGACCACCACATCACTGCTGCTTTTTTAATACCGTGCCTTTTCCTGAGGCATTCATAACCTGAACCTATATAGACATTTCCATGAATTTCTTCTGGAAGTTTTAGAGGTATCAAGTTGAGACACTGGGTCATGACAGAAATGCTGTCAATCTGCTCATGGTCAGCAAGATGAGGCTGCAGCTTATGGCAGAAGCCAGTCGGTTTAAGCAGCTTCCCATTTTTATGGGCTGTTCTAGCAGAGTTAATATAAATCACACTCCTTGTCTTTGATGCACATAATGCATTTGCACCGAACATATTGCGCATATAACACTCAAAGCTTCAGCAAACATCAGAGAACCCAAAGTTGTTCAAATTGCTTTTCAGAAACCAGTAACTTAACAGAATCCAAGACACAATTTTCCAAGATACTTTGGATTATGTCTGATTG